AAAAAAAAAAAAAAAAAAAAAAAAAAAAAAATCAGAAAAGACTGCAGAACACCAGCATTGTTATAATTGAATGTTTGAGCATTGATCGCTAAATACCCTGCAAGGACGGTGAAAAGTTCCAGGTTTACTGTATCATAGTTCAACAGCTCTCTACTGGTTTTTAGCGACTACTATTTTTTTCATTTCCTTAATTTATTCCACTCGAAATTTGTTTAGTGTCTTTAAATAAATTCCACTTAATGTGCTGTTTTAAAAGGATTTTGTTTTGGCATTTTTAGCGTAACGTATAACTTACCGGTTTCTATCGTAGTCAACTGTTAATTTTATTGATGGCTTTCGTACATCAATTCACTTATTGCAGAATGGGATGTTTGTATCCGCATTGGTGGCACATTTCCAACTGGCTCCAGCTATTACAATGCCAGTTGGTGGATATTTGTGTTCAGCGTACGGATGGCCATCAGTCTATTACGCTCATGGTCTAGTTTCAGTTTTGCTATTTATGACCAAAATTATTGTTTATCGAAATTCACCAAATAAGCACCCGTTTGTTTCTGATGTTGAACTGAACAAAATCCGAGTTGGGAAAGAAATCGTTACGTAAGCTTCGACATTTTTGAAAAAATTTTTCTTTTTTATCTTTAACAGTTCATTTTTTTGTTATTGTTTTTCAAAAGTAGAGACTATTTTCGAAAACTTATTGAATACATAGGTCTCGTCACTCACAGGCTACAGAAAGGAGAATGAAATTTTATATTTTGAGCTTCTGATATATTTGTATTACAGATACAACCAATTAAATTAAAGAAAATAACAAATTATTAATTTAAACATATCAAACACTATTAACACTTCCTAGACCCTGTTTTTCATTTTTCTTCTTTCTCAAAACAAATTGTTTTATAAAATAATTCTACATATTTCTTACGTTGACTTAATTAGACTGAATGTAAATGGTTTTTTTTTTTCTGTATATTATCGAACTGTCTTTTAACTTTAGATATTTGCTGCAAAGTTTTTTTTGAATACAGTTGATGGATATTTTTATGCCAAACACTGTAACGCTTTGAATTTTTTTGCAGTCTTATTCTTTACAGTTTGTTATAGGCAATTGTGCATTATGAAATATAATTTGAGTAAGAGGACGCTGAGGTTAAACACTAACAGAGGTTAATCTCAGCAAGATTTGATGATAAACTCAATTCCAAAAAGTGTTTTCAGAAAGAATGAACAACGTCAAATTCCGTACAAGAGAATCTTAAAAACTTGGTCAGTGTGGGCAGTATGGATTGCAGCTTTTGGAAATTTTGCTTGCGCTAACCTGATGTTCCTTTACGCTCCAACATTTCTGCATGCAGTACTTGGGTTTCATGTTGAACATACTGGGGTAACTTCAGCTATTCCACCGCTGTTACAGTTCGCCACGAAATTAGGCTGTGGAGTTGCCAGCGACAAGATTCGCAATGTAAAAGAGTCGGTAAAAGTGAAGGTACTTTATTTCAAACATTCTGATTCCTGACAGCTGTTAAATCTTTACTAGAAAAATGCAACGATACAAGCACCAAGAGTAAAAGCTAGTGAGTTTACGACTTTGGCTAAAGGAAATCGTGTGCATTGACTGAAAGTCGTCAGAGCTGCGGTAGTTGCCTTAAGTAGGTGTCTGGATCCAGGAATTAAGTATTTTCTGATTACAAGTGAAAGTGGTATATTAATAAACCGTCAAGCTAGCATAAAAGGCGACAGAAATGTATTAAAGATTGGTTTTCTTTAATGTCTTTTCTAATCCGTCTTCTGTTAAAATATGGTCAAGGTAGATGTTCTTGGTCTTCGGTTATTGTTTGAAACAGTCTGGTGAGCGTTCTATTGTTACCTCCTTTGTTATACTACATTTCCTTGAGCAACGTTTGGAGACGAATTGATTGTTGCTTTTGACTGCTGATACTGGGGCCAAATCTGAAATGTACATCTGGATTACTGAAGTTCAAAATACGATACTATTTTAAAAAGCAAATTATTTCTGTGTTAAAAATCTTTTGTGTTTCTCTTTTCGTTTTCACACGTACTTAACTCTGTTCTGTTTAAGTGTTATACCTTTGAGCAACTTTTTTCTGTCTCCTGTTCGTGCAATTTGTTTTGAGCAAATTATGTGAAATTGGAAAAATAGAAAGGTAGTCTTAAAAACGCAATTTTAGCAACCCTTTTGCTGTTTCATAATTACAATCCTTCCTTCACTGCGTCGACTGAACGTCCCTCCAACTACCTCCTGGAATAAGTAAATTTCTGCAAGAAGGTTATATCTTCTATATGCATTGAAGCACAGAAAGTATTCCATAGTTTAATTCGCTGCTTTGGGTTTTCTAAAAATTTAAGTGACTTTGGCTCCGTGACTTTGTGCACTGACAAGCAGTGCTTCCTGAGGCTTTCTTTGCTCGTAGTCTGCTTCTCGTGCATCACGCAAGGGAGCCTGTAGTATCTCCAACCTTTATTGGTCACTCGAAGAAAAATTCCCCATGTCACTGGTTAATCCACGTGAAAGATGTTGCCTTCTCATTCTTCGTATCAAGTGCATTCTGTCAAAAATATCGGAGATTTGAAATGCTTCATCCCAGTTTTGGTAGGAATGCTCTTGATGCTGGTTAAGAAGTTCTCAAGCGCATTCCCTTTAGCTTCTCTCTCTAATTTTTTTAGGCCTCGTTCAGGTCACTACCAAACCGCTTAGGCTAGCTTATTTAAAACTGTACTGACGGTTTGTGACGTTTTTGAATCAAACTCTCACCCTGGGCATCAATTAAAAACACTATTGCCGCAACAAGTGAAAAAAAACTTAAGAAATAACTCTTAAGTGCAATGCCACAAAATGTACTCGTGGTAATTTGAATAAACAAAAGATGGGCAGAAGTCGCTTAAGGATACAATACAAAAAAAGACATAGTTAATCATGCGTGTTAGCAAAAAACAGTGAAACATTTCGAGTACAAAAATTACTTAGTCTTCATAATAGAATTAACAACAAGTGGTTACCAGTATCAGCAATAGAAAACACCAAAAACTTAACCCAAAATGCAGATCAAACAGGAATAACAACAAGTGATTTAGTGAATGACCTCAAAGAAAGACAGAAGACAAGGTGCATCTGCCATGTTTGGGGGAAGGTAGAAAAAAGCTAATCTTGGATACGTTTTTATCCTCTTGTTATCCCAGATCGCATTCTAGTACGCCACTTTAATTGTTGTCGGATCGTACTTTAAATTTGGATCTAGACATCTGACTTAGAGGTCTGTCACAGTCTGCGAATCTGGCTATAAACGTGTACGACCTCCTTTGGCGGACATATTTCCATCGGCCTTTGACTGTTGTGTTTACATTGTTGTTTCCAGCTACAAACCATAGACACTTCAGAGCAGATGTTTTCAGCTCAACTGTAAAGGAAATTTTCTTTCTTCAATAATTTTTTTTTAGTGCACTGACAGGGAGTTATTGTGCTGAATTATAGGTCTTTAACAGTATTGCATTTTTTGGTAGCGCAGCCTCACTTGTAATACTTGGGCTAACCGTTTCTTCGTATAACTTTATAAGCATCTGTTGTCTAGTTGTCTCAATTGGATTTCTTGGTTTAACGACCGGTGGATTCTTCAAGGTGCTTTTGGCAGTGACTGTTTTTAAAACCTATTGTGAAAACGACTTCTTGAAAAACTTTTTGCAACAAACTAAAACTAACGAAAATAAACGGTTGAAATTGTATTTTTTTAGTCCGGTCCAATAATCGCTCGACATTATGCACCTTTTGTCACCGGAAATATTGCATACGGTATAACAATTACAATGCTTTTGATACCATTTATGGTTTCGTCTCTAGCACCAGATAATACTGGACCACAGTGGAGGATGGTTAGTGGATATGCTAAATATTTTCTCCCGAACAGTTTACTAATGTCAAATTGAGCTTAAGGAAAGAATAAACAAAAAAAAAGATGCATTCGGAAGTTAAAAACATTCCTTTTTTTTTATTTTTAAGAGAGACACTGCAGTCTAGGATGCTTTAAAACTTTTTAAAAGATAGCGGTTTTTCTACTAAGGAGGACAAAAAATTTGTAGGTTTTCTTCGTAACGGCTGGAATTTTGATCGCTACCAATATATTTTTTGTTGTCTTTGGATCAGCATCGGTTTGCTCTTGGGCCATGTCAAACTCGGCGCAAAATTCGCAAATGAATGTAACAAAATTTGTGTTTAACAAAGCTAAAGTTGGTCCAGCCGGAACAATACAGGCGGATACGAACGTACGGCAAAAGGCAATAGACAAATTTTGAGCTCTATTTATTTGAAGTCTGTCAATAAGAAAAGAAGTTCTGATGTCAACAGCATCTTTTTTTTCCTTGGCAAAGTGGTTTTTTATTGCAGTTTACCGATATTCTTATTGCTAGAAGCTTAGAATATAATAATAAATTATATCATTAACAGCTGATTGTAAGCTCATTGTTTTTTGTTGCGTTGGTTATAGTTTGGTGGTAACCTCTACGTTTGATCAGTGCATTTAATTCTTGGACTTTTCAAAATCAGTCCTCGAATATTACGATGGCGACAGCTTAGGCCACCAGTGCACAATAAAAAAGGCATATCTTAGCGACTGTTCGAAAATTTTTTTATATTGTTTTTTATTATGCGCTGCTTCTACCTTTCCTTCTCCAAAAAAAATTTTTTTTGCACAAAATCGCTGTTTTGTTATTTTCTTCTTTATTCTAATGCGTCATCTTGAGATCATTCCTTTCGTTATTTGACAGTAAGATCAGAATGAAAGCTTTCTCTGTCTTTTTTTTCGGAATTTGCATCTAAAGCAACTTTAATTGGGTTCTTCGAGCGTGATAATTTTATGATTAATCAGTTTGGTCAGGAAAATTAGGATGTAGAAAACAATGGATTATTGAGGAACGGCTTCAAATGATTTTAGTTATTATTGTTTCTTTCTCTTTTTTATCGATAAAAGCCTTGTCAATCCGAAGTTTTTTAATATCTTATGCTTTTAAGCGGGTTTGGAAGCGAAAAAAAGTTTTTTTAGGTTTTTTTTGCTTTGTTTATTATTTCTTCTTGTTCTGCTAGTCATTTAATCTGTACCAGTGTAAAACTGTATATATATTTGTTTATTTATTCAATAAAAATATTGACAAAAATAACACTTTCTGCTGTCGTTATTTACTTACACTTCATTATTATTATTATAAGTTTTATTGCTTAGGAGCATTTAAAAGCATTATTAACTCATCATTTTTCTTGGATCTTTTGCAGCCTTTATGCAGAATACCTAGTATCATAATTTGAAATAGCTGGCAACGCTATATGAGTAGAGAACTTTAAGCTGTAGCGGGAAACCAGTTTTTGGTTGAGTTTTGAGTCAGGAAGAACACAGGAATGTTGATTGTTGTAAACAGGTTAGGTGATTATCTTCTAGACCAAAGTAGGCAAGGGTCATTTCAGCTTGATGGCCCCATCTTCCTTGTTGGTTGTAACGAAAAACAGCCACGTTTGTTAAGATAAGAATTCATTGACTTAATTGACTAAAAGTAAACTGAGACACAAAACTGAGAGACCTTTATCAGTAACAGATGACTGTTTTCACCATAGTGAGACTGCAATATCAGATAATATGGCAAACAAAAGGGAAAAAAATTGGTTACAGGGCAGCATTTTGGCTTCGAATCACTTTAGAGAATATTTGTTAGGCAGTGTAAGTATTGACTTACTGTTCGAAACGCTTGATCTGGTTCTGACGTATAAAGCTCTTCATTTTTTGGACTGCACTTTTGTTTTTACCTTTGAATTGTCATTAATTTAACTACACTTATTTTTCTTGTTTTCTTCAGCTAAATTACTGATGCAACCAAAACAATGAGTTTTTTCATTCCTTTTTGCTTTTACAGTTAGTCCAACATTATGAAACATAAAATAACGTGACTAAAAAAAAAGAAGCCTGGTGGAAATACTTTTCAGTTATTTGTTTTCAAAATCTTGTTTAGGTACAGTTAACGTCAGTTAATCGTTCTGTAAAATTAAGAACAACAACCACGTTGCCTCACTTAGGTTTATCAGTTGTTACTATCTCCTTTTGATTTTTGAATCTTCGTTCAGTGTTGGATTACAACACAGCCATGGGCATCTTCAAAGGAACTAGCAGGCTTTTTACGGCTTGAAAATTTTAAAGTGTTACCACTTTTAAAAACTTTCTAGTTTTTTACTACATTTATCATTAACATTTTTCAATAATACCTACTAAAGAAAAAGAAGAAGGAAGCAAAAATGTGGTACGCTTGTTTTTCATCGTTTTTGCGGGAGAATAGTTAATTAAGTGACAAAGAAGGATTGTTTTTGCCGCGTCCATTTTCTCAAACTTATCACTTATTACTTCCTATCTGAAGTTTAAATCTTTTTTTTTCTTAGTTTTTCTGTTATTTTTTTTTCGTTATCACAGTCAAGACTTTTAATGAAGCAGGAAATTGAAGTATTGACAAGCAAATCAGAAAAGACCAAAGACATCAACAAATTATATTTATCAATATTGTCAAACTGATTCAAAACGAGTAAGGAACAGAAGAAACGTTAGACAGTTTGCTTTTTTTTTAGTGAGCTGTCTTAACAGCGGCACAGCGATAAGCCATACCGAATTTTTTCATGCAAAAAGACAATCGTTATCGCTGCCGCTGTAACCTTCCGTTTTGGAGTGAAGTTTGGAGTAAAAAGGAAAAAGGGAAGTATCCGGCGTCAATGTTGAAAAGTCTACCAATTTTCAGATAAAACCAATTACGGATTGTCCTTGGAAACTACATGTCGATAGATAGTGGAACTTACATAGTTGCTATTTTGAATAATTACTTATAACAAGTAATGTAAACCTGTAAGAAAATAGAAAAAGCGAGCAAAATTTCATAGGTAATTAGTGATTTTTTTCAAACAAAAAGTTCTGACTTCTGAGCAGTGATTTATAACGACATTTTTGTCAGATAACAGAAATTGTTGAAAAGATAGTTGTAAATTTTTTGTTGTTTCTTCTTAATGTAAGTCTGTCTAAAAAAAAAAGAAAATCCTTCAAAATTTTTCAAAATACTTTTCGTTTTTTTTTCTTAAATATTTGTATGCTGGTTTGGTTTTTAAATTGTAGCTGACCGCTAAACGAGTCGATAAGCAATGGTTAACCGACTGAGTAACAAACTAGGCGGATTTATGACAGATAAGACTAAATACATTTTCACTTTTCTGTTCATTTCAGTTATTTTTCTCTTTCTGTTCATTCCTTCGCCAATTTCGTCAGTCACTCATTCATTTTTTTCACTAATTTATTCTTTCATTTATTTGTTTATCCATACATTCATTCATTTCTTCTACATATTTTTGTATAAACTAATGCTTTTTTTTTGGCAATTTTTTTCCATTTCTTCTCTGAAGAGCAGCATTATGCAGCCTGCAATCTGCTTATAATGGTTTAACTAATTTTGGTATCGTACAGATAAAAAAAATTATAAAAAGCTTTAAATAACTGTTTTTTTCTTACTTTTTCTTGAAAATTTACATTTTCAAAAACGTTACATCGATTTGCTGTTAAAATAAGAATTAAATAATTGTTGTAAAAATTTTGTAAATTTTATTGGTTTCTTGTATTATTTTAATTGATAAAATAAATTTTAATGATTTGAAACGTTGCTTCTTTTCATTTTTTATTGCCAGATCTTCTTCTTGTTTTGGCTAGTTCAATATGTCTAAGAAAATATATAAAAAATCTTCAAAAAAAATTCGATTAAGAATTTTTATAAGTCTGCTAAGTATTATCTCGAGCTTTTTACTTTTTTCTGTCGCTATATTTTACGTAAAGTTTACCAAAATTTTTACAGTTTCGTTTCTATTGTTTGCTGCAAAATCACATTGATTATGTTGAAGAAAAGTTTTACGTGCAGCAATACGGAATATGATCTCTGTCTCTCCGGCATCTGATGAAACAGACTTGCCGGTTTCATATTTAAACTTACAATCAGTGTAGCAATTTTTGGTCTTCCGTATCAAGCACCATTTTTTAAGCATCGCAGTACAGAAACATGAAAAACCATAACTGAAAACAGGCATTTTAAGGGTAAAATTATTTGTTATAACCCGTGCGCAACCATTTCACTTGACGACCTACTTTTGAGGAACAGCCCCTTGAAAAACAAGAAAAAAAATCACTTTTTTTAGCATTTAATAAAACGATCAGATAACGACAATAATAAAGTTATATTTGGTCAGAAATAAATCACAAGGGTTTGACAGAAATAGTGACAACAAACTGTTAAACATTTTTGACTACTTTTAAATGACTGTTTAATACAGCTTACGTTCAAAAAATAAACCGATAGAAGACCTTTATTCTCCTGATAAAAACTTTTTTTTTTGCAATTTATAACAGTGACAAATCTGACAAACCGATTAATGGCGGAATGACCAAATAAAGAAAAAAGAAGTATACAGTTGGTTGTTGTAATTTTTTCTGAATAATTTACTTTTTTTTTTTACATGCCAGTCAAATAGTTAACAAATTTCTCGAAAATGTCAAGGTGCTTTTGACCTTAACATATAGTCAGTGAAATTTTGAAAACATTTACTGTTGTACCTTTAAACGTAGAAAGCAGCAAAAGAAACATGCGACAGCTAAGAAATGAGAAGGTAGGAAAATTATCTGAAAAAAAATGTAACCTCTGCAGATTTTATTCTAATTTTTTGCTCGAGTAAACCAATTTAGGTATTAAACAAAAGCTAAAGCGACTAAAAAATCAAAGAAATTGGTTTACAACAAGAAGAAAGCTTCGAAGATTTGATATTTTCAGAAGTGTTAATTTACAGGTTTTCCACTTTTCTTTATTTATTTATATTGTTCATTTTATATATTTAACTTTCAGTTAACAGCATTTAACTGCTGATTGTTTAGCTACAATTATCTGCAAAATGTTTTATTACATAGGCAAACATTGTTCTTCTTTCCCTTAACTTTTATTATCCGCTCAATTATTTCTACATTTGTATAAACAAAAAATCCTGAAACCTTATCTTGTTTAACAGTGATGGCATCTATCAGCAACAGAAGCAGATGGAATCAGTGGCAAGGCAAGAGAGATACACGGAGGAAACGAGAAATAGGAGTGCCGCTGAATGCACAGAGAATAAGCGCAAATTTACTTTTGGGACATCTGTAGACTCAGTTCTCTTTTGTCCTCAAACAGTTTTACTGTTTGTTTAATTTCTGCTCTTCTTTTTTCTTTTTATTCTTCTCTTTTCTGTTTTTTTTTTCAAGTGT